CCGCGCTCGCGCCCCGCCCCGGCCCCGCCCCCTCGAGGGCCCCGGCCCCGCCCTTCCGCTGGAGTCTCTAACTCCCCTCCCTGCCCGCTTGTCCCGGACTCGCGATTATTCCCTCCTCTCGCCCTCCCGGAGGTGGTGGTTTCCGCGGGAACCTGCCAGGGTAGCCTGGCAGCTGATTAGCTCGCAGCAACTAAAACAAAACAAATGTACAAAGTCAACTCGGGAGGGAAGAGTCATCCTGGCTTGTGAGCATTAACTTGAACATTCAGATGGGCTTGGACACCTAGTAACAAATTGTAACTTGACTTCTAAACATGATGGGCAGCGTAAGATGTGGGTTACAGTCACCCTGGGGATCCAGGGTTAGGAAACTTTAGCTCTGACCGAAACTTTTCTTTGGGGAGGCAAGTTTGCCATATAAATGAGATTTAAAAAATTTATTTTAAGTACCATTTAAAAGAACATTTTTGGCTGGAAAATTTTTAAACGCTGCTCACTTTCTGGTTGCCCTAACTAGAATGACCTAGACATACACTTGGCTTTATGAAAATGAGTAATTGACTGGGCTCTGGTACAGTGCTCTCCAAGAAAGGTGTATGCACCTGCTTGCGTGGACTCTGGGTTAAGAGCTTTGACTTTGGAAACTGCTTTTTCTGGTACTACTACGCCCTTAAAGTCAAGTTGTCACTACTTACCTGTCCAAAGCCCAGCTGCTAAACCCATTTCCCATCCCCCCAGGAAGAGCTGACCACAAGACCCTGAGACTGGGTAGAATTAAGCTGCAGAACCCACATTCAACCCATCAGCAACCCGTGTGGTTTCTATCCTATAGAAACTAAGTTCCATGCAGGCAGAATCTGGTTTTTTTTCACTGATGTCTCCCCTGCCTCTTCAGTCGTGCCTGGTACATAGTAGGTGCACAATGAAAATTTATTGAATGAATGAACACATGCTTTCCCCACAAGCGTTAGTTCAGCTTCAAACCCAACTGCAGAGAACTGGGGAGTGGAGAAAGACACAATCACTTTCCTCCTTGTGGGACACAGAGGGCTGGGGAGAGGAGGGCAGAGCGGTGACAGACACCAGGCTGCTGTGCTCTGGACACCAGGCCTGAGCAAGGAGGCTTGCTGGGTGGGGACTAGTTGCTCTCCCACACCTGGTTTCTGCTTCTCGGATTCTGAACTTTATTTTCAGTTTCGTTCTCTTCCTATTATCTGGCTCCACTCACCTCTTCTAGTATTTCAGTCTTGTGCCTCAGTCTACATGGAATTCTAACTCTGATATTTCTTTGTTTTGTCTTCCCCTGAGATCCCATTTTTAGAGTCCTTCTCAGTCACTCGACTCGCCTGCCCTCGGCGGAACGGTCCTGAGTCAAATGAGGACTTTTTCTCTCTCTTCTAATTTTCTCCTCCACCATGGACCTGAAGGCCCATTAGCCAAGTGTCTTAGAATTATGTGCAAGAGCACGAAAGCAAGAGTGAACAGGTTCTGAGTGAGCTCCTGCAACTGAAGAATGTGACGTTTGGGACACCTTTTTTAAATAGGTCCACAGCCTTTTAGGAACTTTCTAATCCAAATGAGTGTCCTGAATGGCTGCCAGGATGGTGCATCAGCGATGTATAGACCTAGCGATATCGTCACTGAAAATCACCCACATGTGCATAAATCAACAGAAAACGTGTAAATGTGAATTAAAAAAATTTTTTACATGACTTTAGCTTATATGCATTGGGTCCTGCTCTCCAATTTTAACTATCAAAGAACATTCATGAAATGATCATGGTGTATGACGTATTGAGTCTGCCGCAGAAGTGGATAAATTGGTCTGTTTATCTTCAGAACTATTTTCTCAACACACATACATTGAGCGCTCGTTTCGTGTCAACCTCTGTGCTGGAGCTGAGGCTACCAAGGTGACTAAGATAGGGTCTCTGGAAAATTCTTAGAAGCTGCTTTTCTGTAAATAAGAGGATTTGAATTCTCTAGACTCAGCGATGTTGTAGTGCTCGGGAAAATGCAGTGATGAAGGATCACATTCTGCCCAAGGGATGTACACTCTCTAGGGCTGAGGAATTTCAAATCGCCGACATTTGGACGTTCGCCAGCTGCCATTCCCAGCACCCAGGTCGGCCAAGAATGAATGTCCATCGGAAGCAATGCAGTAGAAACCACTGACTCATAACTGCTCGTAAATCTCTGCTGTTCAACCATATTTTAGAATCATGTTAATTGCTGCTCAGTAAGTCAGTGAATCTTGGGTCTGTTTTTAACTTGGAGGTTAACCATGGGTTGGCAGACGTTGTGTGCTTTCTTTCTTTAAGTCAAGCCTCTCATATACAAACTCTTCAGAATTAGGGATCAACATTGCCAATGCCTTTATTTAGCAAGCATGGGTCTAGGAATGCTGGGCTTGTCACCTCAATAAATAAGTCAGCGGACACAGTGGGGTCTTTCAGTGTTGCCCGTGATGGGCAGCCCCTCACTATCCTAATCCACCGCTGTGGATGTTCAAGTTTTTCTTTCTTTGCCTGTGCCTAGGAGCATGTTACCATGATGCACTAACAACAACAATAACAACAACAACAATTACAGTAATATCAATAATAACGCAATGAAGCTGGCAATGCCAAAACACTCTAGTCTGAGGAATTTAATGTTATAAGGAAAAGAAAATAAACCTGTGGCTGACACATAGCTATAGTGAGAACCTTCAGCTGAGAAACGACGTGCTAATGAGATTAGCAAAGAAATGCCCATATTAGGTCTGCTGTCAGCTGGGAAGCACAGGCATAGTGGGACTGAAATACCTCTGCTCCAACTGGAAACAACTGTTGCTCTCAGGCCCTCGGGTCCCTCTTCCTCCCAATCCTGGTGACCCCTGCCCCTTCCCTAGGACCCCATCCCCAACAACCAACAACTAAAGGCTAACTCGTGGCACAGCAGAAGCCTCCGACTGGCATTTCTTCTGACTGGTTGACTTTCATGCTATAACAGTTACTAAACGGTTTATCACTTCTGTGTATAAGAACAAATACACACACTGTGTCAGTCGGTACAGGTTTGGTTAGATGCAGAAACAAATGATTCTAGACTCTTCGTGGTTGACAAGAAAGATGTATTTGTTGTCACTCACACTACAGAGGGCGGCCGTGGCTCTGCCCAATGTCTTCTCCATGCTGGGACATGGCTGACTGAGCAGCGTGACTCCAGCGTCATCAAGGGAGAAGAAATGGTCGGCCAGGTGCAGGCTAAGAAGGTGCTCCTCATAAGTGGCAGGTGTCACTCTGGCATACATTTTGTTGTCCAGAGCAAGTCTCTTGTCCATGCCTGAGTTTCCAGGGCGGGGACACATAGAGGAGAAGAGGGCTTCAGCCTGCCACCCTCAGCATTCTGAAGGGTCCCTCAGTGATTTATCATCTCGTGCTCTCTTTGCCTGAATCCTGCCCACACATCCCTGTGGCCGTTCCCCTTCTCCCACTGCTAATCTGGCCTAATCCCCAGCCAGCCCTGTGCCAGCTCACCTTCTTCCAGACGTGATCTAATTTCTACCTGCTCAGTTTCAACACCCAGGTACCTTGTATCTTCACCAACGCTTCCCTACTGTCCACTGTTGCCCCAGGCCTTAGATCAGTGGTCCTCAAACTTCTTTAATTATATACCCTTCCAGCAGAAACTATTTTCGAGCATGTACCCAAAGGGATGTTTATTTCAACTATGAAATATTAAACTATGAATCCGTTTATGAAACATTAATAAAATTTAAGTTCTCACCTTTTAAAAAATAAATAGAAATAGTAGTTTTAAATTGTCTTAGTATATGCCACAGCAATGGTTGAATTATATCCCCAAATTCATGTGTCGAACCACTAGTACCTCAGAATATGACATTCTGTATTTGGTGAGGGAGCTGTTAAAGAGATGTTAAGTCCAAATGAGGTCATTCTGGTGAGTCCTGGTCCAATATGACTGTGTCCTCACAGGGAAATAGATTAGAACATAGATATACATAGAAGATCATTTGAAGACGCATAAGACAGCCATCTACAGGCCAAAGAGAGAGGCCTCCAGAAGAAAGCTGCCTGCCCAAACCTTGATGTGGAACTTTCAGACCTTGGAATTGTGAGAAAATAAATATCTGCTGTTTAGTCTTTCGGTCTGTGATACTCGTTACAGCAGCCCTAGCAAAGTGACATACCTGCTTTGGAAATAATGACTCCAGGTTACCTTCATTTCAAAGACACTATTTTCCAAACTTTCCTAAATGGATTCACTCAGTACCTTAAGCAACGAAATAGTAGTACTACCTACCACTAAGCAGCAGTTACTATTTTTAAAAAATCTTCTTAGGCCAGGAGTCCTCAACCTCGATCCCTATGGCAGTGCCTGCCATGGTAGATGCACAATAAATACTTGTGAACGAACTGAATGAACTATAAACTAAGACGGAAGCCTTGCGGCCCTCACCAGGAAACAGGCTCAGGGAAATGGTGTGCTCAAGGTCACTCAGGTCTGTCTCGCCCCGACGTTTGCCCTCACAATTCATTTTTCCCTTTTGCTGTTCTGACTTTTCACAGACCACGATCACCTCCCACCCACCTCTGCTCTGCTCTGCTCCTCACCTGATGGAATTCACCATCTCAAGTTGTCATCCTCATGCCACGGAAGAGTGAGATTTCAGAACCGAAGAGCCAACGGGGTGATCTAAGTGAACCTCATTTACAGGTGAGGATACCAAGGCTCAGGAGTGTTCAGAGAAGTCTAGTGACTCCCAAGGCCACACGGTGCTCCTTATTCTTGGTCATCAGCTGACTTGCCTGAATCATATTTTCTCGATTAGAGTTCACACTAGTTCACCCTCAAGCATGAGTCCGAGACTCTCAAAAGTGCCCATTAAGGGAATGAAAAATCAAGTTCACACAGTGGGGAAGATATCTGCAACCTAAATATCTAACAGAGCACTCACATCCTGAATATATAAAGAAATTCTACAAATCACTAACAGAAAGACAGATAACCCAATAGAAAAACAGTCAAAAAAACTTGAACAAGCCCAACATCAAAAACAACGATCAACATAGCAAATGATGCTCAAATTACTCAGCTACACAAAACATCAGGGAAATAAAAATTAAAACCATACTGTGATATCACCACAGATCCACTGGAATGGATTAAAATAAGGTAATAGCAAATGTTGGTGAGGATGTGGAGCACCTGGAACTCATTGGTAGGAGAGTAAATTAGTACAGCCACTGGAAAACTGCTGGCAACTTCTACTAACGCTGAGCATACGCCTAACCTATGACGCAGGAATTCCCCCCATAGGCACGTAACCAACAGAAACAAGTACAAATAATCACCCAAGAGACTATATGAGAATGTTTGCAACGTGCACCATTCATAATACCTCCAAATAATAAATAACACAAATGCCCATCAACAGTACATTAGATAAATACATTTTGTAGATATTCATACAATAACATATAATACCGCAGTGAGAACTGCTGAGATGCTGTTTAAGTTCAATTTCTTGATAGGAATTTGTTCACTTTGGGAAAATTTATCAAGCTGTTCTTATGATTTGTATCATGTTCCATATGTGTGTTCTACTTCAATGAAATTTACCGGAAAAAAGCACATGCCAGTCTTGTTCTAAATTGATTCTTGAGTTAGCAGCTGTTGTTCGAAATGTACCCAGTCATTTACACTTGAGGTTAATCAGTCATTGACACGCCTTGCAAGTGTGGGAACATTTGACTATTTGAAGCCTCTAGTCTCTATTGGGGGTTTTCTTGATAAGGGTGAAACATTTCTTTCAGTAGCTTGGTTTTTTTCTCCAGCTAAAAATGTAAACCGTTGGCATACAAGAGCCCCTGGTTGTGCTTTTGGGTGGCTTTGCTCTTGGGATCTTTGGGGACGTGGGGGTAGCCACAGAGGCACTCAGGGCCAGCCCGGAGGGTGCACTGTTTCAGCCCTGTGTCTGACAGGAAGGAAAGAGAAATACGTCAGTCGTTCTAACGAAGAAAAATTGACTTCCTTCTCTCCAGAACAGAGTGCCCTGGTCCCTTCTCTTGAAGCTGATTCAAAGGTAGGCTGAGCGTCCACATATAGCCATTTGGGCAGGTTGTTTTGGGGCTGAGGGTGGGGTGGGTAGAGAGTACAGTTACGGTTATTGTTTTTGGACTGATAACATTAAAAGGTGGAAAACAAAAACAATGGTAAATTAGACAAAGGATGACTTGTGATTTTATCCAATAGCATACATTTAACATTCAGGGTAATAATGATTTAAATGAAACAGAAGGAATACTTTATAGCTTGTTAAAAAAAAAAAAACTAACCCAAACCAAAAAACTATCTGAAACTAACCAAACTGTCCAAAAGCCATAGGTATGATTTTTTTTTTTTAAGGTGATGGTATAGAGTATTCAATTTCTTCTTTGGGTTGTAAATTCATATATGCATAGTTTATTACTGCTTTGCTCTGAATCTGCTTCTTAGATTCAGTTTGTTTTGATCACCCATAATCTCCAGTTTGGAGGAAGAAAAGAAATGTAATTTTAAAATAAAAAAATTAAGTTGGCCGGGGTCTAATTTAATTTTTTTCAGTTAGGCTTCCTTAACCCCAAAACAGATTTCTTGGCAAGAAGAGGGATTCTTAGAGGAAAATGCACATTAGATGATTAAGGATCTGTTAAGAAGTTGGAATTGGTGTAAAAAAAAAAGATTATTCAGCCAGCATAGCGGGAGAATCTAACTTCTTCTCTGCTTAAACAAAGCATAGGCTTTGGAGTTCAACAGACTCAGATTAGAATGTGACTTTAAGTAAATTAATTAATCGCTCCAAGCCTCACATTCCTCATCTGTGAACTGGGTGTCCTTACTTTATAACGTTGTAATGAAGATCGAGATAATGTATGCAGAGTACCTGTCAAACCGTCTGGTCCAGAGTTAGTGCTAAATCAATAGTAGCTATTGGTGCAACAAAGAGTATAACAATAATTATGAGTCGTACCAATAACAATATAAGAATATTAATTCTCATTTCTTTAACCTTCCATAAGAAGAGGTCATGGAGTTTAAACTATGGGGGGGAGAAAAAAGACTTCGATTTCAGTGGTTTACTCTGATTCTAAAATACCTTTTTTCCTTTGGTTTTTTGGTGGCGAGATATCAGGCTGGGTGGGAAAGGATGAGTAGAATCCACAGTGAACCCCAGAGCTGTTCCGCTTTCTCCTACCTTGAGTAGGTGTCAGGTTTTCTAGGTTTAACCCACGCACATGCAGCCTCATATAGAATGGACGGAGTTCTGAGGGACCCAAAGCTTGTACGACGTGTGGAGGCTTCTTTAAGAAAACGAATACAGAATGAGTTACGGGATCTTGGGTGGAACTATGCAAGTGAGGGATGCTAAGCTTGAGCTTTGCTAGCTTCCAGAATATCCACCTCAGTTTAAGTAACGAGAGAGTGAAAAGGGGAATTTATAAACGCACATCTCCACTGCGGTGTCAGACTCTGTGAGGGACACTCAGGCACATCGTCTCACCTTTGTGAAAATGAATCTGTCAAGCCTGAGAGTCTGAGCCCCGTTTGGGTCAGAACCCAACCGTTTATCCACGTCCTTCCTCGGGCGGACTAGTGTTCTTGGTGGCTGTTACAGCCTTCCATAAAGAATATGCACAAGTGACAAAGGGGCAGCATTTTTAAGGAATGTTTTAAGGTCAGTTTAGCCACTCAATGTTTCCCCTGCGTACAAGACAGAAAGCGTGTGGCTGCATTCTGAAACAGTGCAGCTTCTCAAGGAAATGGCTGTGGTAAAAACACCACAGCAGCGGAGGTGGCCGGCCCCCGAAGTGACCTGCGCTCTGAGCCGCTGCAAGGCTGTGGCTTTCAGGCTCCGAGAAGGTTCTGTAGTTTCCCTTGAGAGCCCGGGCAGCGGTGGAGGCGGTGGTGCTCACACACAGGCACGTGCCAGCAACTTGCCACGTCTCCACCCCGGTGCCATCTCCCCGGCATGGCAGGGAGGTGGCGAGGCTTTGTTTCCTCTGATCCGATGACCAGCCGCCCAGAAGTGATAGATGATTCCATGACAGGAAGAGGGACGGCTGCCTGCAGGTGAGGACGTTCGCTTTCCCATCATCCTTTCTTCACTCTCAGGTGGCATTGTCCCCCCCCCCCCCCCGCCACACACACCCCCCCCACACCACCCCCGACTGATCAGATCTAAAAGCCAAAGTCAAGTGCTGTCCGGTTGGGGATAGAAAGCAAGCTGTTTCAACATCCCAGCACGCGACTGGCTATTTGGCTCTCCTGACGAAGTGGCCCCGCACGTCCATCCCCTGGGACACCGTCCCTGACCCACAGCCATTTCTGCTCTCGCCGCAAGGAGTGACTCGTGCCTTCCTTTCCTGTAGAGCCTCGTGGTTTTGATGCTCATGCTATCGTGTTATAATTGATTTTCTGCCCGGAATGTGAACTTCTTGAATGCAGAAATCCTACGTACTTTAGCTCCTCGATACCGGGCACGTGTTTGGCAGAGAGAAGGCGGATAAAATCGGGGTTGTTGAGCTGATGCGCTAGAAACACCATCACTATACTGTGTTTGTCTGGATGCCGAGGGTCCACCGGGTCCATTGTGACCTGATGTAGACAAAATGGAAATACATGGATTGAGGTACATGCTGGGTTTAGGAGAGCAGCCCCTCCCCCCTGCCTGCGTCCCTATCGATCTTGGACAAACGGCTTCCTTGCCTGCTGAATGGGGCCTCCTGAAGGGTAGGATAGGTCCAAAAGGAATACTTCTGAGTCCACCTTGCTTTGTTCCAGTTGTTCCTCAGATGATTCTGGAATTGGGGTTTGATCCCAGATTGTCTGACACCCAAACCAACGCTGAGATGGGAAGGTTTGGCACAGCGTGTCTCTAAGCGGTTGTAGAAGACTTCTTTCTTCATAGTGGTGCTGTAGTGTAGGTTTTACTTGTTTTTTTAATTGTTAAATGAAATTAGACTAGTAGGTGGAATGCTGTAAAACAAGGGCCATCAGCGTTACAAAGTTACAAACTGCAGTAGGAAAAGGAGGCAGGGGCTGGACTCACCTCTGGCTGGGTGAGGACGGAGCCTGATTCTGTGCTGGGGACAAAATAAACACAATGTAGGAATTTGCTGGATGAGTGAGAGGGTGACCAAATATCATCACAGAAAAAAGGATCTGGGAGATTTCGTTACTCGAGCTCTACGGGACTGAATTTCTGCACAGGATCATGAAATGAAATACTTTTTTAGCAGGCTTCTCCAACTCTGAAACGACTCTCGTTTTCCTCAGCCTTTCAGATTTGGGGAGACAGTTTATAAATGTGTGCTGGCTTGCTCGCCTGGCTATCCTCACTTCCTACCGTTCTTGAATTCGAGCTTCCTGCTTTGGCAAGCGCACTCACATGTCACAATATTCACTGGGTTTCTCAACTTAGGACGAACATTCAGGACCTCCTTGCTGGGTGATGAAGGCTCTTTCAAACCCAGTGTTACCCCTGGAGAGGAAACTTGACTGTAAGACAGAATGAAGTCAGGGTCACAGCAGAGAAATATATAAAGTAGAAAGGGGTCGTAATGAAGGAACAATTAATTTCGATTGTAAATGAGGAGAAATTTCCTGAATTAGGTTGCAATTAATCTGGACCTTGATAAATTAACAGTAATAATGACGATAGTATTACTACTGCTGCTGCTGATAATAATAATCACAGCTAACATTTATCGACTGCCTATTTACTTTTTAAATTGGGATACAGTTGGCATACTTTTTTTTAGTTTCATGTATACTACATAATGATTCAGTACTTGTATAGTACTGAAACTATCACCGCAATAGGTCTAGTTAATATCCATCAGAATATAGTTACAGAATTTTTTTTCTTGTGATGAGAATTTTTAAGACTTACTCTCTTAGCAACTTTCAAATACACAATACAGCATTATTAGCTATGGATGCCATGCTGTACCTTACATCCTCATAACTATATATCTTATAACTGCAAGTTTGTACCTTTTGACCCCCTTCGCCCATTGTGCCCACCCCTCACCCCCACCTCCCACCTCTGGCAACCACCAATCTATTCTCTGTATTATCGACTACTTATTATACGCTGGCCACTGTGATCGAAGTACTTTATATGTATCAATACCCTTCAGCCTCACTGGGAAATAGGTGCTGTAATTCTCTCTACTTTATAGATAAGGACATTAAGTCCCCAGGGCTTAAGTCACTGGCCCAGCATCTCGACAGTGAGTGACCGGCAGAGCAGAGCCGCACACTCAGTTGGGTTCCAAATGCTGCTTTCCTGGCCGTGCCCTCACCGTCCCCGAATAAACGAGGTTTTAGTGGGCAGAGGCACGAGCGGGGGCAGAGGCCTGGGAAAGGAAATGGACAGGACGCGTTCAGGGAGTAGTCTTGAATGAGTTTGATATGGGAGCGCTTTGGGGAAACTGAGGATGGAGTAGGAGGAAGAGGCCAGGCCAGGGATGCCACGTTCATGCTTGAGGATTTGTTTCCAGGCGGTGGAGGACACGGGCCCCTTTACTGCGGAAGAAGGACACATTCCTACCTCGGTACTGTTAAATACACTGCTCTTCACCCTAGAGCCTCCCCTTTTCATTCTTCAGACCAAGTTCTCCCATGCTCCGCGGGAGTCACCTTGGCCATGAAGGTTTTCCTGTCCTTTCTGGTCTCTGGTCTCCCTCTGACTCACTATCCATTCGGTCCTGTCACTGCAGCTGTCTGCGTGCAAGCTGATGGGTACAGCCAGCTCTGGACCCCATCAGTTGTCCCTTTACCACTTTGTGAGTGTTACAAATGCCATTCTCATGCCTCACTCTGTCATCCTAGACAGTAAGACATGGCACAGTGCGAGGAACTTGATGCGAGCTCATTTTAATAGATTTCGTTGTTTCCGCCATTTCCGACTTCAAAACATCACAAAAATCAAAAGCATCCAAGAAAAAAAATATATATTTGTTTTATCCATGTTTTGAAGAATATAAAAAATAATCCAGCATGGTTTCTAATTTCCAGCTAGTGTAGGGGACCAGATATGGAATCTGCAAAGGGGCACCTAACGCCATGAGGTGGATGAAATGATCTGTCACTTTCTAGGTGTTTACCGTGGACTTGGGGGCTCACTAACTCCATCTGTCATCCTAGAAACCTTTACTGACTGGGAAGAAGCTCGCTAGAAAAAAAGAACTTAAAAATTTTATAAACAAGTAAATTGTTGCCATGAGCCTGGGAGCATCTTGTCTTGGATAAATAGACTATGAGATAAGAATAGTTTTAGTGGCTCATTTCTGAGTGATTTGGAAGATGGATCACAAAGTAGAATCCCCAGGTTGGCAGTCAATACCAAATGTGTGAGAATTCAAATGCCAGTCGAAGCGGGATAAGATGCAGATTCTGTTCATTAAGGTTGAAGAGAATGCGGCTGAAATCATTCAGATAATTTCTGCTGAAAGAGGACCTCTGAGCTCTCAGTTATAGCCTGGAATTCTGATCAGACCTGGAATTCCATAAGCAAACAAACTCGCAATCAAACCGAAGCCCCCAAACCAAAACCCACAAACTCAAAACAACTGCAACGACTAACCAGGCCTCTATTTCCCCCAACTCATTCCCTGCAACCCCAACGATATGTTGAAAACTGAATGAGAGAATTATATAGTTTAATTTGTTTGTGACCTGAGAAATTATTAGATCCTCTAATTCAGTCATTCTTAAACCTTTCTGAAATGATAGACAGCTCTCGTTACAGTTCTAAATGAAACCAAGTACAGTCTTCCTTCAATTCACACGATAGTCGCATTCTAGAACACTAGGCACACACTGTAGAGTGACGGTGGTCCCATAAGATTAAAATGGAGCCCAAAACTTTCCACTGCCTTTTGATGTCACAACCGTCACGTGTTTGTGGTGATGCTGGTGTACGCAAACCTACTGCGCTGCCAGTCATTTAAAAGTATAGACATACAATGTGTACAGTACCTAACAGTCGATGATAATAAACAACTATGGTACTGGTCCCTGTATTTACCACACTATATTTTTTATTTTTATTTTAGAGTGTACTCTTACTACTTATAAAACAAAGTTTGCTGTCGAACGGTGTGCAGTGTTATGCCGGCATCAAGTCTCACACATCCATCTCCTGTCTACTGCGTCTCTTGAATGAATCATTTTCTCTTGTACTTGATTTACTCTCATGTTGTTCTGTATAATAACATGTAATCCAGGTTTGCAGCCCAGGAGCAATAGACTGTGCCAAAGAGCCTAGGTGTGTAGCAGGCTATACCATCGAGGTGTGTGAAAGTGTACGTTGTGACGTTTGCACAGCGATGAAATCACCTAAGAACGCATTTCTCAGAATGTATCCCCGTCATTACGTGGTGTGTGACTGTATATCATAACCCTGCAAAATATACTTTGTGTTCATAGAAAAGTTTAATTCTGTTATTAGATCATTATAATTTTTTTTTCTAATAGAATTATCTGGTAAGATAGTGAACATTTTTATGGGGATGGAAGATAATTCTTTGTCACTGTAACAACCAAAAACATCCCTGCAAACTTAAGATGGAAATGGGGTACTGCCCCCATTGAAAATCCTGAATGAATCCCCAGCAGCTGAAGTAACTGTGGTTCAAACGTGGCAGATGAGATGTCCACAGCACCAAGCTAACTGGGACACTAGAAGGACACTGGAAGCCAAAGAGAAAACATCTTCCTAGGTTTCTGTTAAATCTTGATGCTAATGGTCAGTGGGTGATGCTCTAGGAAGTACCGATTGCATCATTTCGAAAAATCACCCCATTTTACAGAAGATTTGGAGACAGATCCTCCAAGTTAAAGAAAAAAAGTACATTTCAATCCAACAATAGAAGCCCGGGATATTAACCAAGTATTAACAGTAGATATTAACCAAGTGTTCGAATGACTAACCAAAGGTTTACAGAAGCTAAAATCGAAATCTCTGAAAGTCAAGAACGAAAACACAGTGGGAGGGATGCTAAACATGGAAACCTCTAGTTCTGCCTCTCGTTTCCTACGCTTTATCCCTGTATCAACTTGGAATACCAGAAAGCACCATGTTTTGGTCTACGTTTGAATTGCAATTTGCTGCTACATGCTTAGCTTTAATTTGAGATCAATAACATAGTGTAACCCACGAAGCACAGCTTCGCATTTTCTGCCAAGCCACCGCTCAAAGAAGCGATTATGTTCTCAGTCTACGCGTTTCTTCCTTGTTTTCTTTCAGTGTATCGGAGCTATATACGCCACTTGGATGTTATGTTTTGTTTGGCTGTTTTGCTTTGCTTAGCTGCTGAAGGAAGGTCAGAAATGCACCTAACGCTCAAGTGCAGTGACTGTTTCACTGCAGGTTCCTGGTGGAATGATCGGCCCCTTTTCACTCTGGCTGCTAGTGTTTCTCTGACGTTAATTGTCTTCTATGCGCTTTTATCGTAAGCCGCATCATATTCTTGGTAGAAGTAGGATAGGGTATAAATTACCAGCCAATCAAGTCACGTACCCTAAGCATCTGAGCAGTGCCTGGCACTTGGAAGGTGCTTAATAAGTATTTACTGAATGCGTGGGACGAACGAATGGCTGGACCCTGGAAATGAACTGAATTTCACTTTTCTGTAACTAACAGTGAATAGCCACTAGGGGGAGGATGGGCTTCCCTTAACCGAGAAAAGACACTCCCCCATCCAAGGCATGGATTTGGTAAAGCACAAGCAGTGTTTTTAAATGACTGAATCCTGTATTTCTGAAATGCGTTAGACCTAGCCTCCTGAAGGAGTGAACATTTGGGTGTGCCCAGATTCTCCCAGTTTGTGCACTTGGCGGGGTCATGTCCAGCATTGTACCGCACTGGTCCTGCCCGAGGAGCCAGAGAGAGAGCACAAAAGCCACAAGCACAGAAGCTCAGCGCACAGATCACGTGTTCTGAGCCTAATGCAAGAATCTTCATTTAAAATTCTTGAGAATCAGACAAAACGGACAATTCTTAGCCTAGGAGTGCGGCTCATTGATTAGAAATAACAAGAAAGCAAGAAGAACCGAGGGGTAATTTTAGAAAAAATAGACTTCTAAAGTTGGTGACAGGATGGCTGATTCACGCCTTATCACTCGGCACTTGATTACACGCTGTTTCATGTGCCTTTCCTCTCTTCCAGGGACTCAGATCTGCTAGTTCCATCTGTCCATCTGCAAACTGAGGAACGAGGGCGGATGAAGCTTTGCCTCTGATGGCACAGTGAGTTCCCAGCTGGGCTGGGCTAGAGCCCCAAGTCCTTGTCACTTTCCCATCGCCGAGATAGGAAGCCTTTTGAGAGCAGACACGGGAGAGAACTTGCTGAAGACTAGAAGCCAAGAGCACACTTCTCAGAGCTCTGGGTCTTCCTGCTCCTGATGCAGCCTCTGTCCTTGGGTGAGCAACATGTTTCAATTTTCTCTTACAGTAGAGAAACTGACACATATAGAACCCCTTCAGCCAGGGGTCCTTAGCCTATTGGTCCATGAACTTGGATGGGAAAAATTACATCTTTATTTATTTACATCTTTATTAATTTAGCATTTCCTTCAATTATGAATATAGGCATCAAACCAGAGTGAACGAGCAGGACTTATGACTGCTGCCAAAAGGAATCACAGATATTTTCATGCTACATTGTATGTCACAGGTCTCAAAATGTTATTTATAGTCATCACTACTCTTAAATTAGGGTACTCGTTAGATCAATGCTAGACCTTGTTATTTCAAGCATCGATGAACATACATGTTACTATATGATGATTTTAAAAAATATTTCAGTATAATATCCTTTGTAACTCAGTGTATCTTTTTATGCATTTAAATGAGGGTTAAAAAGAGGGTTATCCATCTTTTCATACAAAGATTAAGGAAAAAAGTTTAAGAATCTCTGCTTAAAGAGAATGAGCCCTCAGGGCTCCATTAACCTCTCAATCACCAACTTGCTATGAGTCATCAATTAATATAATGTGGATTTCCAAGAGAGCCCAACGAAGGGAGTTTAGCTTCTCAAGCAGTGAAAGGAAGTCTCACTAAGGAATTCATGTAGATTTTGTAACAAAATGGCATTCTAGAAAGCATAATGCCATTATAGAAAGTTTATTGATTTGAGCATCTACAATTTCTGCATTTCATTATTACGTACTTATCCAGTGTTTTATCAATTCACAACCATCTTCTTGGTTGAGGTGAGAAACAGCTGGAAGGTGATGTCTGCCCCGTGTCACTGATGGAAAAAAGAAGTAGGAACAGTTGGCAGAACTTCACAACTAGCACTAATCAGAAACGAGACCCCATACGTGAGGCAGCTGGGGAAACCATTAAAGATCGTAAATAATTGATAGATTGAGGTTGCGGTGCTGGCCCTTCACTCCTCCCTAATTGAAAATTTTTGAGTTTTGAAGTTAATCGTAAAGAGGGTAGCTTGCAGTGGAGAACATTGTTCTGCTAATGTGTTTTCAATTAGGGTGATGATGTACATTAAACACAGGCTTTAATACCTCTAATCACTGAAGACATGGAATTCATAGTAGAGAAATTCAAGTTTGGGAGTTCGAAGTTTTTAGAGACACAAGAAGACAAATTTAGTAAAATATAAATTCTGACGTTATCACCACAGCGGGAAATGCAAACTTCTGTCTGTGTAGAACATTTTGTCTTTTCTGAAGTAACGCTGCAGAGATACGAGACCAGGAAAAATGATGCTACTTTTATTGTCTTTTCTACAGGTATGAACTGGTAGGGCTTGTCATCCTTCCCGCTCACCTGAAAACACTCGAAGGAGAAAGTTAGCCTCTGTAAGACACGGATCCTCTTCTTATTGCTATTCGTAAATTCCCTCCGATTGGGGATTAGTTCTGCTTTGCGAAAACTATCCGCTGGGATCCATGCATCATTGAGAACAATCTCTGGCAAAACTTCAGAAAAAGATAGGCTGTTGTCTTAGACGGATGTCAAAGGCTGCGGCAGGACCCAGTGAAAACGCTCCCTGGGTGGCATGAGGCTCTCCGAACAACGACTCCAACCGAGGGACAGCCTCTGGGGGCCTTCTTGTCCTGAAGAGTGTGACACCTTTAAAAGAGGGGGAAAAAAAGCGCCACCGGCGATTCAGTCGCCACTGAAATAGGAGCAGGAGGAGAGCTTTCGAGAGCGGTGGCTCGGCCGCTGGGCTCCGAGCTCATGGAGTGAAATTTCCCCTCGGAACTGAGAAACCAGGGAGAAATGGCCCGGGAAGTCGACCTGAATTCCCTCCAGGACTTAGAGCGCGAGCTCATTCTCCAGGTCCTGTACCGAGACCAGGCCGTTCAAAACGTGGAGGAGGAGAGGGTCCGGTAGGTTGTCACGGCAGTGGGTGGAATGCTTAGGGTTTTGGCTTTTTCTGCCAGGAGGAGCCTGCTGCTCTGGACTCGGCCTCGCGTCTGACAAGGGTCCTAACGACGGGACTGTGAGTGGGGATAGTTTGCTGTCTCACCCCCCTTTGAAGATGGTAAGGGACCAGGGAGGCTGCTTTTGTTATTTACTTAAAATGGGGCCTTTCTGGTGAAAAATTTGCCTACTTTGTGGGAAGAATTCAAAGGAAGCTGACAGGTTTTCAAGACAGCCTGCAGGGAGGGGAAAATGTTTTCCTAAACTATTTGTGACAAAAACTGAAGGCACAAATGAAGCAACTTAGAAACAGCAAGCCTGCCGGAATCCACTTCTTTTCTTTCTTTCTTTTT